CTTGGCAGCATGATCTTACTCATCACATCTTTCCAGGCCTCAGTCCAGCCACATCCATGGTATGCAAAACTAAAGTTTTTGGTAACTCATAATACAAACATATCTTAGAAGAACGTCGTAATGAAGACAGATAAACCAGCGACATATTCATATCTCCCAGTGTTTTAGACCTTCACGATTCCGACCAAAGACATCATGTGATCGCACTGTCGTTTTCGTGTTTTCTCAAATTTAGAGGGCGTCAGGAATTGACAACGATAAGATGGAAAAAGCCTGAGAGTCTAGGAGTGCCAAAGCCAGACATCTCATTTTGGATCAGATCTCGAGCGTGCCGCAAACATTGCGGAGTGGTGATTGGTTTTGGTATCTTCTCAAGTGGAAAGAAGTGTAGAAAGAAGAGAGTCGGTGAACGGAAGACTGACACGGCGTGTGGCAGCAAACAACTGAATTTCTTTTCTTCGAACTCAGCCCCGCCACAAACATGGGCAAATAATGACCAGATTTTGGTACTTCGCCAGCTGACATGGGGATCAGAGGATGAGGCTGGGTGAACCGGAGAGGTTGATTTTCCATTTGGATAATAAATTTTTAGGGTACGTCGAGAGCCGTCCAGGATATCTCGATCCGAGCGGCTGTTCGGATAAGAGCAGACCAGGAAAGGCTTTTCATAGTGATGGCAAGTGAGTTTTCTTAGTAAGTGTCTTCGAATATGTCTGAATAGGGTTGTTGGAGGCTGTTGGTCGTCTTCTCTCATGTGCTACAATCAGAAAACCTTTTGTAAAGAAAGTCGGCAGCAGGAAGCAAACGTCTACAAATGGCGCAGGGTCTTGATTCCGAAAGGTCAGGGTTGAGCAATTCCATGAGGGCTGATGTGAGTTGGTCGGGATAGGGAACAGAATATGTCTGGATGCTGCCAGTGATCGTTTTAGAGAAAAAGAAAGGGGTAGTGGTCATAAAGGTAAGTCCATTTTGTTTTGAGAAGCACCCAAAGAGTGGGTGTAAAGGAGGAAGGAAGCATGTGGAGACAATGTAAGGCTTTTATACATGTCTTACATGTCCCCTCAGTACGTGGCTTTCAGCCGTTCCTTAATTGTACGTTTGCCGGCGACATCCTCTTCCGCGGAAACATGCCGTCTCGTAGCAGTATCTTTGAGACACGCAAAGCTAGCCATCCATCATCTCGAAGAGATACAAGCCATGAGTCGGATTGCGGAAGATTGCTAAGAGAAACATAATGATGGATGCTTGACTTTTCGGTAGCCACCAGAAAGAAGAACAGGAGACATAGAAATCTGTGTGGAATATTTTGCAGAGAAGCTCGGAAACAGCCATGTGGAAGTGGGCACTAAATTTCAATATCTCAAGCGATTGGTAAGAGGTGCGAAACCGAAAACACGCACACCAGCTAGAACTGTTTCGAGGAGGGTGCTCCGTAAACAAGCCATAGGAATTTTGAGATGCGACTTTTGGTATTTCATGTGGTCGGAAAGAAAAACAGGAGACATAAGACGGACAGTAAATGATTTGGAAAGAAGGCTCGAGGAAGAAACATCATTATTGTCTGACGACCTTTTTTGATATCTTGAGTGGTTGGCAAGAGAAGAGCAGAAAACATTCTATAGCCTTGCGCCACTTTTAAAAAGAAGCTTGGAGGGACGAGTCATTCATATAATCTTTGTCCTTTTTGATGTTTGGAGAACAGGAGTAGTTGTAGGGGAAAGAAAAAGTAGGGGAGCTTCGCGAGAATTTATATACACTGCCGCCGAACATGACATGGCGAAATCCGCCGTGTAAGTCACGAGTGATACGCATTAAGTCTTCGTTTCGTATTGTACATGGCGACCTATCTACAGCCATTTTAGTGAACCATAGTCTCCAGTGTGCCCACAGGCCTCTCCACAATATCGATACATCCATCCACGATGCTCTGCCTTGCTGGCTCACTGCTAACATTCTGGCCACCCAGATACAATAGCCAGACCAGCCTGCCAACCCTCTCATCTCTGACCTCGCCCAACCAACTGCTCTTGCCCATGACCTCCTGCTTGCTATTCGCTGCCTTCACAATAGGTTGGTACAGCGCACCTAGATGTCCGTTCTTATTCCGTGTCAAGATAATGACACTACCCTTGGGCGCTTTGCCCTTGCCCTGGAAGAGGTTCCTGAACTCCTTCATCGCCAGGCCAAAAGACTCATCCTGGAACTCGCCCTCCTCAACCGGCTTAGGCAAGGAAATGGATTTGTTCTCGGCAGCCTGCTGTCTGATCAACTCAGCCTGTTTCCTCCTCACCTCATCCGTGCGCGACGCAATTCCGCGCATCCAGCCATCTTGCAGATGCTTGAAGTCTGTGCCGCGGCAGGGTACAACACGGAATGCCATGTCAACACCATCCATGCCGTTCTTGGCCAAGATGGACTCCCAGATCTTGTTGCTCTTTTCGGGGTCGAGCAGGGACTCGCGGAGGTCCTTCTTCTCATTAGGGATCAGAGCAGAGGCGGTGGGGTTTACAGTGTTGATGAGGTGGTTTTGGAGGGTAGAGAGGTCGGCGGTTTTGACGTAGAGGCCCACAACGTAGACTTGGACGCGGAGGAAGGAGACTTTCCGGATGCCGAGACCGAGGAGTGTATATTCGGCGTCAGTGGTGATGGCTTCAGGACCCGAGGTGTCTGTAGGGAGACGGATGGTGCGTGGGAAGTAGGGGACGTAGGATGTGCCTGTTTCAACGAGCTCGATGGCGTCGGGATCTGAGGCTTGCGGGTTGTCGGTGCCGCCTGGTGTTGCGATGACTTTGTCGCCTGCCGCGATGACCACCTTCTTTCCTTGGAACTCTTCTGCCGCCTTGCGCGGTGAGTCGTTCTGGATGGGTGGGCCCATGATTCTGTCTACGATGCCCCGGCGTGGCTCCTCACCTTTCTCTTCTAGTGGCGGTACATCCCACAACCTGACGAGGAAGATGGGTGCAATCATGGACAGTGCAGCACCCAGAGCGAGCCAGTTCCGCTTTTTTATCAATTGAGCACGACGTATCGCCTCTGCGCGATGTACCGAGACGAAGTCCTCATCTGGGCGAGGAACCTTGGGGCGGGCGCCTTGCTTGAGTATGGCTTCAAGATCTGCCCTGCTGGAGCGCGTGTTTTGGCGGAATTGGGGGTTGGAGCGGAGGGGCGCAGGCGTGTTGAGGCAGCGGAATACTGGCCGCCGAGCGGCGTGTCTTATCGAGTTCATGGTGGCTGCATTGACTGGGTGATGTGGTGAGAGAGAGAGTGGAGCAGCTTGGACCAGGGCTCGATGATGTCGTCGCCGGTCTGAAGCGAGCACTTTAGCGCGGCTTTCACTGCGGCGCGTCGCGTCGGCCCCCCAGAGTAAATCTACAGCCCACCTTGCAAATAGGTCAACGCTCAACACCCCGCCTTTGCGGCTTCTAGACGACACAACATGCCTCCACATAGACCAAGAAGAGCGGAAGAAGCGACCCCGACCCCCACACAAACCCAACGGCGCAGACGAGATGATACACCCGACGAAGACGAGGATGTCGACATGGACGAGGCAATGAACCAGGGCAGCGGCAGCGTTGACCAGCTGGCAAAAGGCTTGGTACGATATGCCCTGTCGTGCGAACGTTCACGGAAGCCTATCAAGCGCCAAGATATCAATGTAACGGGTGGGTGCATTGGAAACCACACATGACACGGGACTAATAGTGGCAGTACTCGGTTCAACATACACTCGACTATTCAAGGATGTCTTCGCACAAGCAAACAGTCAGCTCATGGACGTCTTCGGCATGCAGTTGGTCGAACTGCCCAGAGCGGAGAAGGTGACACTGCGACAGAAGCGCGGTATGCAACTCATCACTACTGTGCTGTCTCTGACCTGACATCTCTCAGCTGCCGCTGCCTCGGATTCCCAAAGCAAAAACACAAGTATTTGGGTTCTGCAAACTATCCTCCCCGACCAATACCGTATACCCGACATCATCGGCCCTTCGCGACCAATCGAAGAAGACATAAATCGAGAAGACTCGTACGTGGGACTATATACCATGGTCATCGCCCTTATCACAATCCATGGCGGTCTGATCCCAGAGGGCAAGCTAGATCGCGCCCTCAGACGTATGAATGCAGATCAGACGACGCCCATGGGGACCAAGGACAAGACGCTCGCGAACATGATCAAGGATGGGTATATTGTAAAGGTCAAAGACACCCAGAACGGGGGCGAAGAGACGATAGACTATATCGTTGGGCCCCGAGGCAAGATGGAAGTCGGGCGGGATGGTGTCGCGCAGCTTATACGGAAAATATTTGGGGACAGCGAGGATGGGGACGAGCTGGATAAGAAGATTGAGAGGACGCTGCAGGTGGCTGGTGCGAATGACGATGCTGCACCGTCGGTCGAGGCGGCCAACGTTGCATCGCAGGCGAATGGACGGAAACGTGGGCGGCCGAGAGGCGAAGGCGACGAGTAGGCTGGAGTCGCGCAGTCTGTTGGCGTTATAGAGAAGGAGACGACCTAAGATACCCTGTATAGTTGTACTGCATTATTCTTTGCCTCGAAACTCTGGCGATGCTAGTCGTGTTAGTGATGGTAGGTAGCTCCAAGCTCCCCTCGGAAGGATTCGAGGTTGCATCATCGGCCCAGCAAGCGCCAGAAATTGCCAACAACAAAGACACGACATCAGAGGAAGGAGAGGCTGTTGGTGCAGTGCATGTGCTTGGATGGGTAGTTCCTTCCCCATTTGTCAGCGTCACGAGGTATTGGGCAAGCGCGACCCGGTGTTGAGCAATGGCTGCATGCAATCAAGGCTCACTGGAGCTTCGCTGCCGCCCCTCAAGCGCTTCTGCGCGCCAAGCTGATTGAAACGGCTCTATTTTCCACACCAACCGCCTTTGCGCCATCTCTCTCCTCATTCTCTCGTTCTCTCGCTCTTTGCCCTCGCCGTACGCATCCCCACCTCCAGCGCCATACTCCAAATCTGCAATGACTGCTTGAGACAATGAGCAGCATCGACTCCCTCCTCAACCCCGACGCTGGCCTCCGCCGCCCGTCTGTCACCAGCCCGACCGCGACACCTGCCGACGACGCTGCCGATGCCCTGACAACACTGGCAACTTTGGGCAGCGGGCAGCAGTTCGTGCCCGCCCCGACGCGCGAGCTGCCCTCGCCAACTGCCTCATCCCACGCGCCGCGACGCACCAGCAGCTTCGGTTCCCACCACGCGCCTGTAGAGCCCTCGCCACCCCTCGAACTGCCCCAGGCTCGCTCGCCGACCCTGGACCACTATCACCATGGGTCAAATTCGCCAGAAGAGCAAAAGCGACGGCAATCGCTGCTGTCGAGAACATCGCCCGCCCCAGTGCTCGCGCCTATACAAAATTTGTCCACAGCCCTGCAAGAACAGACCCAAGACGAGAAGGCGTCAACACCTATCGGCGAAGATGTGTCGCAAATTGTACAACCGGATCATGGCGGTGAAAGAGACAGCACCCACCACCGCGAGCCTGCATTCGTGCGCGACGAACCAACAACTTCACAGATCCGCGAGCCTGAAGCGGCCAATAGCACACTACAGCCGGGTTCAAGTTCGCACAACGGCGACAAGCTGCCTTCACCGCAGCCTTTCATCAAGGACGAACCCTCTGGCACACCACGCGAACACACACCTGCAGTCACTGCTTCTCAATCCGAGCGACAAGGTTCTGTTACTGGCGAGAACATGGATGCCGATGCGCTCAAGGCACTTGAGATTGCCAAGCAGAGCGACCTTGGACTACGGAGACGGAACCAGAGCGTTGCAGAGCGGTCAGAACGCGTACAATCACCCGTGGACTCGAAACCAGCACCTGCCCCGACCAAAAAACGACCAGCGCCAGCATCAGCCCCTGCTATTAAAAAGAAGGGTACAGCAAAGACGTCAAAGCCCAGCAAGAAGCGTAAGGTGGAGACGGAAGATGGCGCAGCACGGTCAGTCACGCCTACCTCGAGGATACCAAAGTCGGCCAGCAGGGCTATGAAGAGGGGCTCGCATGCCGGCACACCCGCTCCTGGATCCTCACCCGCACCAGACCGATCCGACGATGAAGGCGATTCATCTGAAGACCACAACCTGTACTGCATCTGTAAAAAACCGGACAATCACAAGTGGATGATTGGGTGCGATGGCGGTTGCGACGACTGGTTCCATGGCGACTGCGTAAACATGAAACAAGCGGATGAGCAACTAGTCGACAAGTTTATATGTCCTCAGTGCGAGGAGAATGGCAGGGGCAACACAACATGGAAGCCAATGTGCAGGCGGGAAGGCTGTCGAAAGCCTGCCAGGGTAGGGAAGGACCGAGAAAGCAAGTACTGCTCTGACGATTGCGGAGTCCTCTTTATGCAAGAACAGCTTCAACGAACAGCAGGAGCAAAGGGCGCCAATGGAACAAAGGAAAAATCTAAGAAGAAAAAGAGAGTCGAGGAAGAAGAAGAACCAACCCCTCTTGGTGGCACCCTCCGAGCCAAAGACCTCAAAGCCCTTGTCGACGCCTCGCCAAACATCCAAGCCTTCAAGAACCTAGGCACCGGCGTTCTCACACCTCCACAAACCGCTTCGCCATCCCGCGCAACCTTCCCCGCCAACGGCGAAGACCTTTCCCTTACCGCTGGCGAGATCGAACGTTTGACCGCCCTTCATAAAGAGAAGACGCAACTCAAAGATCGGCTAGAGGTACTCAAAGACCGCGAGAAGTTTGTCAGCATGGCCAAGGAACAAGCTGTTCGCCTCGCCGACCGCGAGAAGATCAAGATGAAGGATTTCTGTGGTTACGACAGCAGATTATCATGGTCTGATGCTGAGTTTCTACTTTGGCGGAATAGCAAACACGGCCGCGCTGCCTTCCACCACTCCACCCTGAATCCCACCCCAGAACAGATTTCTTCGACGCCGACGCCTGCGGACGGCGCGGATGCAATGGACATTGATGGTGGCGTAGATGGAGAGGAGAAAGATACAGCCTGTGTGAAGAAGCGCTGCCAGAAGCATCCTCAGTGGCAGAAGCTTAACCTGCAAGATGCCAGATTTGAGGAATTGGAGGTTGTTGAGGCGATCAAGGAGTGTGAGAAGGATGAGCGATCCGTACGGGATCGTGCGAGAAGAAGAGGCGCAAAGGATGGTTTGGCGAAAGAACTCACTGGTGGCGAGGACGGGACCAAGGTGGAGAGGAATAGGGATGGATGGGTTGAGGTTGTTGGTTCGTGACTGACATGACCTCGATCGATTGTTCTTGTCAATGGATGGACGATATTGGAACGGAATGAAAAGCTTGGATAAGGCATATACCCCCATTCCTTTCGATGCGGTATCCGAATATTTGGGCGTTTTTTTTTGGAGGTTATGGGGAAAATTTAGCGACAACGCCTTGGGCGACTCATGGTTCTTCGCAACTCACAAACTTGGTTATACCATTCATATCGGATAGCGATTTCTCATAGCTAGTGTTAGTATGGTTTAATGACTAGGCTTATTCTTCAGACTGGGTTTTCTGGTGACAATGATCTTGTATCACCTGAGAGAGGCTACAACGGATTCCCGGGACTCGGAAGCTGTCAGATAGGGTGAGGTGGTGTTAGACGTATTGTTGTATCGCTATGTCGATCAGGTATAAAATCTCCCTCTGCTCTTTCCCTTCCCTTCCTTTTATCACGCACTCAAAATTCTGTCTTACTAAAACCATCCCTGAGATTAACCTATGGTGTTCTCCAAAAGCAAGACATCCTCAAACAATGACCTTCCCTGGCCTTCTTTCTGGCTGCTCAAAACAGACTTGCAGCATGTCATGTGTGGTGGCGGATCGCTATTCGGAATGCAGTAAAACCGATACCTATCACGATCATGGTCCCAGCAAATTACTCTCTCCAGCAGTCATATATAAACACTGTCTGTTCCGTCAACTACTGCTTTACTTCCCTATGCTTGGGAATCTGTTTCTCCGAATTTGCACATATCGAGTATATGGAGTTTTCGAAAAGCCATGTACGACAAGAAATGATCTTCGCTGCTTTGTTTTGCGTCCAAAAGAGAGAGAATCATATTATATGCGCGCGTGTAGTATAACGGTGCTCCTCCCTCTTCTTACTGGATACGATGATAACGCTACTCATTCTTTTTGCTCTCGACATGATCATTGGTATACCATAACCGACCAAAACGAGAGACAATAGTTTCAGCCCAGAGAAAACACCAGGGGGTTTGGTATCTACCTCCTGAGATACGAAAAAGAAGACAACATGAGAAAAGGCAGAGAAGAGCGAATTTAAAGTATTATCATACAGAAACGGTGCTCCGAAGGGAAATGTTCTAGTTGAGAAGCTATGGGTATAAGAACGATCTTTCGCCAACCAAGTTGCAAGCCTCTATCAACTCTGACTCTTCATTGTTCCAAAGAAAGAAAAAAAGCTACAACCGGTCCATGGGATGAGACTTCCTGTCTTCCTCTTGTTTACATGTTACACTACCCGTTCATGATCACTGGATTTTGTTTCCACCCCACTTCCAAATCTTTTCTACTCCAAAAGACAAATACATCAATACATGGAGACTGGAAATATCGACGCTTTCGATCATGCTGCAAACTGCCTGGTTTCCATCGGCTCGCAGTTAGATCTACCATTCGCCTACGGGACATTTAACGCTACACCAATGCCATTGCTCAGGTCTTTCCAAAAGATCCTCGTATTCGTTTCATGTGGACTGGAAAGAGTGATTGCCCAGACCAACGTGGTGGATCTGGCTGTTTGCCTTCTGCTAGTATAAATGATCACCTTCCGACAACCAAACTACTACTCCAATACCAACTTCGAAGTTTCTTCTTGTCTAGAAATAAAGGATAGGAAGATTACATGATGGAGGTTCAAAATACAAGCAGCAAGAAACATGTTGCGAGACGATTTGTCCTGTTCCCACTAGCATAAAGCGCTATGTTCGTCAGCCACCCATCAGCTTCTTATACCAATCTTCAAGTTTTCAGATTTCCATCACTCGAAGCATCGAATCCATGGGACTTCAAAGTAGTGATGAGTCAATGACATGCTAAACGGCTATTTCTCTGCTTGCATATATGTTACGCTCAACGTTTTGGATATTACTCACGAGTTGTGTTCTATATCTGTGACCCCTCTTCGGATCGCCTACAGATCTGCGTTCCATAGTCGAACTATCTGTCTTTCACCAAAATCGTATCTTGAAACTTTTGGAAAACTCATCTCAATCCATTCAACGCAAGTCAAAGAAATCGATCGCGACTAGAATGAAGCTAATCAACTGGTGTGTTTGTGTCAAAACCAATTGGCAGATAAAAGGACTGTGTGTCAGATGACATCTGGAAGTATGACTTTCAATCCAAAGCCCACAACCAGACATGTGTATCGAATTCCTGATCTGTTTGGACAGGTCCATTTTAGACGCAGTATAAAAACTTTATTCTGGTATCTAGAACCATTACTTCTACACCAACCTCCAAATCTCATTGTTCCGAAGAAAAATAGAACGCGAACGGCATGCACATGTAAAATATCAGCTTGGAGAAACAACGATGTGTGTCTGCCTGTGTCCATACTTTTAACAGTGATATGGCATGTGAATTCGGAATGAAATCTGAAATTGTAGCTTTTGAAGAAAAGACTGGGTACAAAAAGCACCGATTGCCGTAGTCATGGTCTTTATTTGTCGTCGTCAGCAGATTAGAGGGGAAGACACGTTAGAAACAAAATTAAGATACTGGCCTAGCGAGCGAATGCCTACAAGGGTATTGTGATACCGTTTTTAATGGAAGGCTGAACAGGAACACGCTGCCCATTCATGTCTGGTCGTAGCCCACGACTGAGCTCTGATCCAGTTTGGAGTCTCGAACACTGAGCCAGAGGTGCACACATAATATCATATTCAGAAATCTTTTGTTCTTCCTCTTGTTCTTGTGAAACCTTCTGTTATGACCAAAATGAAACACGAAGCGCTCACGAAAGACTGGAAAGCTCTGGGTTTACGTTTGGCGCCTGGTACGAAGAAGTGAAAGTGCTTCCAACCCATACCTCTGTCTGGCTTTCCTTCGTCCTGATTAACAGAATTGCGTCTTGGTGGCTAGCATGGTTATAACACCTTTTGAGTGCTCGTCTAAGGCCCAGAGCTAAGCTACAATTGACTTTGAATGTTCTCTCTCCAAAGCCATCATGCGCATATGAAGCTTTTCTTCGTAGACTCCTAGGTTCATACCTTCCATATCTGCAAAAGAATGCCGTTACGATAAAAATATCCTGCAATCACACCTGCAGAAGGAGGAAAGAATCTGGAAAGAAGATGTGCTTTCGAGTTTATAGTGAATGAAAGGCCGTGAATCTTTCCGCGGACATAACAATCGGGGGGTTATTCCCAAATGGTGGCGTAGGGAATTCCTGGAGCTGGAAATGAAGAGGAAGAAGAGTGGAGTTAGCGTCACACGTGGCCACGTTTTGGAGGCGCCTGTGACACTCGGCCTAGCGCAAAAGACGTCACATTAGGTTATGTCACCTCTCAGTCGCTTCTCTATCCGCCTTTTAAACTTTTACCTAAGATGCGACATTGCCCTGTCCTTCGATCGATGCACATCGAAGTCGCGACCTACACTGCGGTAGGATTACTCTGGGAATAAGCTGCTGAGCTAACTACTAGTCAAAGCGCATACAGCGTGTCGACTTCCCAAGACGTTTATAAAGTTTGAACTCGAATGACCCCCTGCCAACCCCCCAGTCAAGATGCCAGACTGATGTCTAGGCTCGACGATGCTTAGCCCACCAAGCGCGACACTAAACCGTTCCTCGGATCAGCGGGACCCGCAATGATCAACGCCACCATACTGTGTAGAGCAAGATCGACCAAGGTTGCCCACCGTCTCCTGCATATTGTCTCTCCGCTTCCACTACTTGCACCCTTAATGCATCTTCAACTCCTTCTCGAACCTGTCTGATGTCGCAACAGCATGTTCCGCGCTGCAAGGAGTGGGTACTTGCTTTTTTCGATAATCTCCGACCTCACATCTTACATATCTACGCATCTACCATCCATATCAGGTACCTCCACCGACGCCGAATACCCTTGTTCATTTGCCGTGCTTGAGAGCCGAGGCTCAATGCCGATCGACGACAAGGAGCAACAAATGGCGTCCTCATTCTGGCCATTCCGGCATGCTGTCGAACCGCAACGAGCAGGCAAGTATTCCGAACAGGGTAAGACAGAATGATGCGGACGAGGTTGCTGAGTCGTCAAGACATTGGCCCGCCGGGTGAGGCGCACCAAACATCTGCACCAGTGTAGTCACCATCCACAGCACGATCAGTTCGGCGTGTCTTGCTATTGGAGGTGTGAGGCTACGCCCCCACTTCATGGCTGTTTCGAGTAAAAGCCCGGGATGGAATGTTCCCAGTCGCGTTCAAGCAAGCCATGAGTATGACGATGTTTCGCAAGTTCTCGCCGCCACACCAACATCGGTATCCTGGAATCGTCGTACGATGCAAATAACCTCGACGTCATGCCGTTGAAAACACAGCAAGCTCCAGTCAAACCACCTATACCTTCCTTTTCCGTTGTTGGTCTCCAAATCGAAGGGAACCAAACGTTTATGTGGGTAAGACGGTGACAGTCGATTGGGCATGGCGTCGATCAAGAGACTACGGGACAGATGCCTACGACCATCTCTAGTGCTCCGAGCGCATGTATGTTCTACCCCTTCAGGTATAGAGAGATGCCTGGGGATCGGCCAGTGAAACGCGCTAAGAATATCTGCCGAGGTGACATGGCATATCGACAGTGCTTTTTCCTTACCCACACGGCATGGTAACAGATGTGAACTGGATATATAAGGGAGTCTGGATCCTCGTTGATATAATCACAACCTTGACAATACGGTAACTCAATACTGTCGCTCTACTTCTACTTCTATACACATCTTCTTCATTACCTTCAACATGCGTTTCTCAGCCATCGTTTCCGCCACTCTTTTCGCCTTGGCTTCCGCCGCTCCAGTAGAGGAAGTCAAGCGTGCCGCCTCCTCGTCTTGCCCCTCATACACTATCATTAACACCCGCGGTACTGGCGAGCTCCAAGGCGAATCTGCTGGTTTCCGTACAATCAACTCCCGCGTCCGCGCTGCTGTCTCCGGAGGCAAGACCTACAACACTGTTTACACTGCCGACTTCTCCCAAAACAGTGCCGCGGGTACACGAGACATTGTCAACAAGATCACTACCACACTGGCCTCTTCACCAAAGGAATGCTTCATCCTTGAGGGCTACTCTCAGGGTGCTCAGGCCACCGTGAACGCCATGTCTCAGTTGACGGGCGCCAAGTTCGATGCTGTAAAGGGTGTGTTCCTCATCGGTGACCCAGCACACAAGTCTGGATTGGCGTGCAATGTGGACAACAACGGTGGTACCACCACCAAGAACGTCAATGGACTTTCCGCAGCACTTGGAGGAGGCATTCCATCCAACTGGGTTGCCAAGACGCTCGATGTTTGCATCTTCGTATGTATCCTGTTGTTCATGTCATGTTACAAAATTACTAACGCATTTGTCAGGGTGACGGTGTATGCGACACTACACACGGTGCGGGTATCAATGCTCAGCATCTTCAGTACCCCAACGATGCCCCTACCCAGAAATTGGGTACTGACTACATTACCAAGGCCCTTGGTGCTTAGGGTGAATGTATTGGAATGAGATGAGTGTGCGTTTTATTTCGGTTATTGTTCCGTCTATGGGCTTACGGACACTCTTTCTAAATGTATGTATTTATTCGAATGACATAAGGTGCCAATACTCAGTTACTGAGAGACAAACGCTGGAATATGCGTGTGTGAACGTCGCGGATACTCGCCACTGCTGTCCGCGTTCTCGGTCCCCCAAGTCTAAATCTATCGGAAGCTGACGTGCGTGTGTCATTGAACCATTCACAGCCATCATAGTCATCCTCTAGAGGCCTTGCTCTTCATTAAGTTTGATACCCCTCTCGACCAACCCCTCAATCCATACGTTAAAGTCTTCCCTCATCTCCGCCGGCAACACATGACCCTGCCCCTTGATGAAATGCTTCTCAACCTCACCTTCCTGCCAGATATCCTCCTCTTCCTCGATACCCAACCAGTTCTCCTTTCCGGTCGGGCCCTCCCCCCTCTCCAATCCTCTCCAAAGCACAACACCCAACGGGAAAGTCAACATGCGATCCTTGGTGCCATGGATAACCATGATCCTGTTCTTGCCTACAGTCTTTGCAATTTGCTGCAGCTGCTCCGGGCTCTTGTGGTGCCACCCCGCGGCGATAGCTTGCAGCATGAATCCAGCCTTACCAAAGTACTCGGGATGTGATCGTTTCCAGATTTCGTTTGCAGCAAAACGATCACCGTTGGTAGGAAAGGCTTGAACAACAGGTTCGAGAGTGTCGGGCGCGTCGAGCCATTGCTGTGTGTAGAGGTTCTTCTTTACGCCTTCGATTTGGGCATCTAGAGATTTGGGGATGAAGAGATTGGCTCGGTTCCAGAGGTTTTCGATGAAGCCCTGGGAGGGTTAGCTAATCTACGAAAGTTTGCTAGGGTTGAGGCGTACATTTGTTCTGAATAGTTGTGCGGCTGTGGATACGAGCGAGAGTGTGCAAATCCGTTGTGGTATCAACATGGCCTAGATTATTATTAGCGCTCAGAGATTCTGCAAATTTCTAGCTGATCGGAATGGGTGTTTTTGCTGCAATCATCATGATCGGCATGCATAGACGATCATATGTGCGGCATTGACGAACAGGTGGGGGCGGGGTAAAGTTGAGCGGGGCGGAAGCTCAATGTACCGTTGAGATTACAGGATGATGCTGGGTATGAGAAATGTTTGAAGCTCTAGTCGACGACACTTGAGAGAATTTGTGTTCAAAGACGGAAGGTATAGCATCCGATCCGAAGACGACTACTCCACCAGTACTTTGTGCGGATGACGATGAAGAGATGAATGGACTCACTATTTCCTGGGCAATCATGCCACCCATGCTTATACCAATCACATGTAGTTCACGGTTACCGGTCCAGCCGACATGATCGAGAACTTCGACAATGTCCTGGGCCATGGCAGATGTAGAGTATCTTGATGTGGGCTTGTCGGAGTCACCAATACCTCGGTTGTCAGTTACTAACGACGAGTATTGGTCGCCTTTGGTGTGGCCAAAGTCCTTTGTCTGACGCTGCCATGCGTATTTCATGCCACCAAGGCCCATGACCCACTACATAGTGTCAGTTGTTGACTCTTGTTGTAACAAAGCACAAGCGCCACGTTGACGTGAATGTAGAGACGGAAGATGCCGAGAACGGTTAAGGGCTGAATGCAGAAAAGTACGTATTCGTTGCGTACTCGACAACTTGAGACACGATACATCGTAGTTGAGACGGTCAATGCAACTGAAACGAAACGGTGACAGGGTGCCGCTACCCGAAGATTGGTAGAAGACAACATTACAAATGCACCCTAGTCAAAGACAAGCTTTTCTTTGGTGCCTGATATGCAGCGCATCAAGTTGGAGAAGATATTAATACCGATAGTGGGGCGACTTACCACGAGGTGTCTGTCGCCATGGCCATGGATCTCGTAAGCGATGTTAAGGGGACCGCCTCTGTCCTTGGCTACAACGGCTTTGCCTTTCTTTTCTGGTTTTAGGTCCCAGATAGTATGGGGGTATTCTGGGTGATTTGAAAGTTCCTCAGCAGTCATTGGAGCCATGGCTGATGGTGAGTCTGTGTTTTTTTTGTAGGTCTCAAGGATTCTCAAACTAGGACGAGTCAGTACTGAGCATGTAACCGCCCGGTGGTAATGTCAGGAGGAGTGAAGATGCGACGATGCAACGGGTGTGGTGGCGCAGCAGGAGGGTAGGCAACGTTGACGGCTTCCTCGATGTGGCTACGGCTCGGCATGTGTCTTTTGGTAGCGGTGTGCCCATAGCGCATCCCGGCCCAACCGACAGGTACGCGACCGTTGTGTAAGCTGGAGATTTGGGGAAAAGCATGTAAGGAATGCTGACGTACTATTCTTGGGGGAGGCGCTTACGGCGTAGCGCGTGAGTTGTCAACGAGATGTAGAACTGAAGAGTCAAGGCTAAGAGTGTGCATCTGTGCTTTCAAAGTTCGCGCTGGCGACCGCGTGGGACAGAAGCAATATCACAACGTCATCTCTGCTATTCCGCTTTCAGCCTCAGGTGCGTGGCTCGTGTCTGACTAAGGCTGGACGCGCGAACTACGGACGACGCGGCGTTGCAGTCTGACAGCACTATATTGTAGTAGACGCGGATAAGGAAAGTTGCCTGGGCAGTATCTTTTTTCCTGTCGACGCCGTGCCCAGACAAGTAATAGTCGTCACGACAAGACGACGCCATACGACGCTCCCGCTTTGGGCCGGTCTTGGTCGTCTGCAACAAGCTTCTGCCTCACCCGCGCGCTGTCGGCCACGATTCGATAGTCGGCGAGTCTGCGACAGCCATCCTCAGGGCCCTGTAGATGTGATCCTCGGCAGCGTTTCATCTCCCTGAGCACTAGACGCTCCGCCAGACCCCTCCGCATAGCCCGAACCATACCCGCCCTCACAAAACAACGCGAACCCCCGGATATCCGCCAGGGCCCAATTGCCCTAGGACTTTGACGACTGACGACCTCGCGAGAGCGACACCTAATACGCCATGAATCCCGCCAACAACGGCTTCTACGGGGCCGGCCCGCCCATGATGAACCCTCCACCACCGCGTCTGTTCGGAAGCGGCAGCTACGACCCATCGCAGATGCCCCCGGGCAACATGTTCGCCCACGACGACATGCACGACGACAACGATGGCAGCGACCCCAAGCGGCGGCGCATTGCAAGGGTACACACTGCGGGCGGCGAGTAGCATAGTGCCATGCTGACAGATGCAGGCTTGCGACATGTGCCGGAAAAAGAAGATCAAGTGCGACGGCAAGATGCCGTCGTGCACACACTGCCAGAACTACAAGACGGAATGCATCTTCACTCAGGTCGAGAAGAAAAGGCAACCGCCCAAGGGGTATGCCTGATGACTCACCACGCGCACATGAAGCTGACCATGCATAGCGCCAAGTACATCGAAGGTCTCGAGAACCGACTTGCGCGCATGGAGTCCCTGATGCGCCTCTCCGGCGTCCTCCCCGAAGACGACGACGGCAGCACCGATCTGGCCACACTGGAGAGACGACTCGAAGCAAGAGCTGGGCGATCGGCCACACCCAGGGCCAGCATCGGTGAACGACGAGAATCAATGGCACCCCCGACCGGCCAATCCACTGCCAACGGCACACCAGCACAACCAGCTCTCCCCAGTCCGAGGAGCGGTACCGCCTCACCAGAGCCAGAGGAGCACACCGAAAACCCCAAAGACAAGGAAGAGGATGCGCTCGCCGAGATGATGTGCTCTTTGGTGACGAACAACTGCGGAGAGACAAGATATATCGGTACGCTTCCCGTACTTGTTGTTTTTAAGCGCTAACCTTTCCAGGCTCATCGTCTGGTTTCTCCATCTTCTCGCCCAAGGGCATACAATGGGTGAATGAAAAGACCGGGGACAACTCTTTCCGCGACATGATCTCTACAGCCGCCGTCGAGGACAACAAGTGGATCCAATGGCGACCCGACGTGTTCCAGGACATCTTCAAGCGCAGAGTCTACAAACAATTGCCTCCCAAGCACGAGGCCTTGTCACTACTCAAGGACTACTTCGAAAACTTCAACTGCATGTTTCCGCTGTTCCACGAACCAACTTTCATGCATCTCGTAGACAAGCACTACTCGAAAGACCCCTATGAAGGATCCGGGTGGTGGGCCAGTTTGAACGTCGCCCTGGCTTTCGCACACCGACTGCGCGTCATGAGCAACCTGGTTCCAGCAGAAGAAGACGAAAAGGCGTGGCAATACCTGAAGAATGCCATGAGTGTCATGGTAGAGCTTACCATGCGCAATACGGATCTCCTCAGTGTTCAGGCTTTGCTAGGAATAGTACGTATCAGAGACAAGAGATTCGCCTTCCCCCAACTAACATCTTCCAGGGTCTCTTCCTTCTAGGAACGCCGAACCCCCAACCTACCTACTTTTTCGTTGCCACAGCCATGCGGCTTGCACACAGCATTGGTCTCCATAAGAAAGGTGCCAACTTTAGCCTCAACTCCGCCGAGGTCGAGCAACGAAGACGTGTCTTCTGGATAGCCTACATGTTAGACAAAGAGTAAGTCTTTCTAGCCCTCTTAAGCTTACCTATATACTAACACCATCAAGCATCTGCTTGCGGTCCGGCAGACCACCTGTACAGGACGACGACGACATGAATGTCGAATTACCTAGCGATACTCCACCAGACAACATCGGCAACATTCCGCTGGCTGACGGAAAGGGCACTATGAACCTATTCCGTCTCATGTGCACCTTCTCCGTGATTCAAAGCAAAGTTTACAAGGGTCTCTATTCCGTAAAGGCATCTAAACAGACCGACGGCGAACTGCTAAATACTATTGGCGAACTGGATAAAGAGCTGGAAGCATGGAAGGACGACATACCACTAGAGTTCCGGCCAGAGCATGACATCAAGGCATCACATACCCCGCTCATCCTCCAAGTCGCAGTACTGCATCTTGGCTATTACAACTGTTTAACCACCATCCACCGCATGAGTGTACATCACGGATACTGGACTAGTCGATTATCCAACTTTGCGATACAAGGCCTAAATGCTCGACCTCTCAACCCGAGAGTCTTCATGTCCGCCCAACTGTGTGTTCAGGCCGCCCGAGCTTCGATACATCTCCTAAAGTACATACCGAAAGGCGATTTATCTTGTGTCTGGCTAGTGATTTACTTCCCAGTCACTGCATTGGTTACGCTCTTTGCCAACATCTTACAAAACCCACAGGATACGCGATCACGATCGGATCTCAAGCTTATGAAGCTGGTCGTCAACTTCCTGAACATGCTCAATGACGATCAGGGAAGCGGCAGTGTCAAGCGAATGTGCACAGTGTGTGCTGAATTCGAGCGCATCGCTACTATTGTGCTAGAAAAAGCCGATCGCGAACACGCGTCGCGACGGAAGAGGAAGCAAGGCGACAGCGAGCAAGACGCACAAATCGAAGCAACAGCGGCCGAGCTGCTCTCGACGGGTCGCAACGCACACTCGTCACCTCAGCAGGCCACTACTCCACAGAACAATAACCAATCAGAAGGCATGATCTTCAATCCAGACTTCCAGGGGTTCAACGAGGTAAGCTCTACCACTGTCATGCTGAGGTCACTGCTAACATGCGCAGCCATTCCCCTTCTCACCAAATTTCACACACGACTCCTTACAGCCCAATATCCAGATGAGCCAATATGGTTCACCAGGTATCACCGCCCAGATGCTCCAACAATCACAAAGCTTACCAATGACAACTGGTGGTGATGTGAACGGCATCAGCTCCAACATCAACGCCATGGCGGGCATGGGCCAGTTCGACCAGACCTTCAACAACGTTCCACAAGATCTCTGGAAAATGCCAATGACACTTGAGTGGGACTGGGCAGACATGACTGGTGGATTCTCGGGATACGAGGACGGGATCAGTATGAATGGTGTTCTTCCAGACTTTTCGAATCAATCTGGCCATGGAACGAGTGAGTTCAATCAGGGCGCTATGAACGGCGGCCGGTGATAGGCCTTTGGCAACTAAGATTGGCGTTGCACAACATTGACCATTACGTCTCCCACCTTCCACACCGTCTGGACACGTTCTCGCGAGACGCGGCCGATACCATGATCCGACTCCCCTCCAGCACAACTTGGGTGCTTCGCTATATACCATTGTTATCATCCGAAATCTCTTGTCGTTCTTGGCGCTTACGACCTCATGGCTTTGTAAAGTAGTGTTTTATCCTGATAGACACATTGTAATAATACAGTTGTGCTCATTAGTTAAGCTTTATCGTGGCGCATGCACACCAACTAAGTTCTGGTAGCCCGTCTGCAAGACTGATCGTAAGCTGAAACTAAGACCGCGCTACGGCCCATGGTCCGGAGATCCTCGCTGTACGCTTTCGTAGCTATGATGCACACCCGCAGGTTGCTTTTACATCCAAATCCTTGCAAACATTTCTTTTTACAGTCCCTGGACTGATCGTGTAGCTCGACTCAACACACACTCTCTCTCCCGGCAAGCTTTGCGATTTTGGTTTGAGATCTAGAACCAACCCAAGTTTCAGCCACAATGGTCAACATCACAGCCCTACTCTCATCGCTCATAACAGCGAACCACATCCTCTCCTACCACAACGTCCTCGATCCCTTTGGCCATGTCAGCGTTCGTAATCCAAACACCAATACAACATTCTTCATCGCGCTGCAGATCGGTCCAGCAACAGTGTCCAGTCCCGCCGACATAGGCGAATACCTCATCTCGGATGGCACACCGGTCAACGGCACAGTCGGCGGCTATGCAGAACGCTACATCCATAGCGAGATTTTGAAACGTTATCCGGATGTCAACGCAGTTGTGCACAGTCACTCCGAGGATGTCCTTCCATACACTGTTATCGATACATCATTTGAGCCAGTGTACCATATGGCCGGCTTTCTTGGTGAGAGCGTGCCGAACTTCGACATTGAAACAGTGTACGAAGAGGGGGACCCGAGAGATATGTTGGTAAACAGTCCGCGGCTAGGCGCCGCTTTAGCAGAGAACTTCGGTGTTAACGAAACGAGGCCCACATCTCCTTTGCATACAACGGTCCTGCAGCGGGGACATGGCTTCGTTACAACAGCGGAAAGCGTGGAACAGGTCACTGATTTCGCGTATTATGCAGCGAGTAATGCTAGGGTGCAGACGAAAGCATTGTTGTTGGCGAATGTGGGGAGAGGTGGTGGCGGAGTTGAAGGGGTCAAGTATTTGAGTGGCCAGGAGAGGAAGGCGACGAATGAGATGAACCGGTGGATTGTGTTCAAGCCTTGGGCGCAGTGGGTGAGGGAGGTGGAACGGAGTGGGATGTTTGTGAATGAGCTGGGGACGCCGCCTATGCCGGATCGGTAGGTGGGAGATAAGGAGCTTGGTGACGGGCGGGTTATATGTTTTCCTTTGAGTTGGAAGTAGTGGTGTGCAGTTTTCACTTCCACGTATATTGATGTCTTTCATGTTTCTGTCGGAACAGTAGAGCAACGTTCCCTCTAGATGGCCTTCAGGCTAACCCATGAGCATAGAGAAACTATTCTCGTCGCCCTCTTTGCCGCTGCTTGAGATAGACAGGTGTGGTAACAGGGTGATTGGGATATGAGCTGGCTCTGAGATCTGGAAAATTATTGTTCTCGCTTCCAAATATCGAGTGTCATTCCTTCGTACCTACATAGTGGTTACCGTCCACAAATCATGAAGCCGTTGAAGACGGACCTCAATCTTAGCTGGAAATCACTACATATTCGTGCAAGCATTACAAATCTTCGGCCAATAGTCGGCAGTTTCTACCTGGCTACTTGAAGAAGTCAGTATAAGAGCAGTACGAATAGTGAATGCTGCAACCGCTAGCAATGTATCACGTGTATGACGCCATCTGCCAAGCCCCTTCCGTTCTCGGGAGCGGAGGAAAGCGACAACGTCCTCCCCAGTCCACCCTCTTGATTGCCGTTCGTCTCCACTCACGTCACGTCGAAGTTATACCACAAAAGGAAGCTCATTGAAGTACCAAGACTCTAGCACCCTGATAGACATCAACATGCCTGCGAAGGATGTAGGTATCCGGCTCAACCATTACGACCGATAACGTGCTTGGGTATACATATCACGACTATCATGACAGGGATCCGGAGTAGAGGTATATACAAACGTCGCTTGGGCCTCTGCTAGTGATGCATTTCGCAGCTCTTCTTGAACATCCTGCCAGGCTTATAGCCTCCACAACAGATTCCGTCGACTAAGAACGCATCGTTCGCCATGCGAATCTCATCCCAATCTACATTGGGTTTACTTGCAGTTCAAGCAACGACAGTTATTGCAGACCGATATGCCAGCAACATAAGACCCGTTGTGATTGATTCACCACAGGTGGCAGCCAACTTTCCCAACGTCGAAGGCATTCAGCTACTATCGCCAGCTTTCGTGAACCCAAGCAACGTACCAGCTACGTTCGCAAACGGCACTTCCGGACCAACTCCACAGCAAGACTTGGGTATGTTGTTGTACGTCAAAAGCCACAGACTTGCTGACGTTCTGCAGAGAGCTTTGTGAAGGGCATTGCCCAGCGTAACGGCTGGATCACCTACAAGAGCGGACTAGAATCCGAGGAGGGCCGCAGAATACCGTATGTTACACTGACGAGTGGCAAGAACAGCACCAACAAGCTACGTATCTGGATCCAAGGGGGCCAGCACGGAAACGAGCCAGCAGGCGATGAAGGTGTGCTAGCACTATTAGGGAGACTCGCTCAGGACTCACAATGGAGCGCGAAAGTCCTCGAAAAAGTTGATCTTGTGATTCTTCCACGCTATAATGTCGATGGCGTGGAATACCTGCAGCGACAGCTGGCCTCCAACTACGACCCTAATCGTGATCACGCTGTGCTCGAGAGAGAGCAGACGCGAGCTATTAGAAAGCTACAATCCGAATTTGACCCTCACGTCTTCATAGACGACCACGAATACACAGGTGGCGACCCGGTAGCTCAGAAATACATCCGCGCACAAGATCTCCTAGTCTCGGCCAACAAGAACCAGAACGTTCATCCTGATATTCGAGCGTTGAACCAGGAGTTTGTAGACGACATCTTCTCAGTTGCTGAAAGCCACGACCTCCGAATATTCCCATACTTTACGACCAGCGTAGCCAATGGAACGATCACTATCGAAGAGCCTAATGCGACTCCAGCGGCAAACCACAAAGGTGCTGGCAACTATCAGGCCCTTACATTCCTGGTGGAGACGCGTGGTATTGCTATTGCTGATCAGCATTTCCAGCGACGTGTAGCTTCCCACCTCATCGTCCTAGAGACCATCCTTAACAAAGCGGTTGATGAATACGATAGCGTGTATAGCAAAGTTGAGGCAGGACGTAAAGCCTTTATCGAGAGTAAAGATGACATTGTTGTTGCGTACGAACAACGTGTCACAAACAAGATAGTTCCCTTCATCGACGCGACGAACGGTTCCCTCGTCAACGTGCCCGTCCGCTCCAGAAACAGTGATCCCTACCTTGTCACTCTGTCCCGACCTCGGCCAAAAGCCTATGTCTTCTCGCGCGCATGGACAGATGTAGCGGAACGTCTCCGCATACTCGGCGTTACCGTCGATATCCTCCAAGAAGAGTTCACCGGCAGTGTTGAAGCGCTGGTGGTAACGTCGGCTGAGCTGGCTGGAACAAAGTTCGAGGGCATCGCGGGTACTACAGTGACGACTAATGCGACACAGCGGGAGGTTACGATACCCGCTGGAGGTTACTGGGTTGACACTAAGCAGAAGAATGCTGGGTATGCTTTTGCGCTGCTAGAACCAGAGGCAGAGGCTAGTCAAGCATATTATAACAAGATTCCGCTGGAGGTGGGAGATGAGTATCCTGTATTTAGAGTTATCTAGGGATATCCGAATGCTGTGATGGAACAATTGCTCCATCTACGTACTAAGACGTGCTTTGAGTGCCCTTCTCCGCCTGACGCAAACCCATCTTCACCATCGGACTCTGCATCAACGTATCCCAGTCGTGGATGAACAGTGTTTGTTTGAGAGAGATGTTCATCTCTAATACGCCCCGCTCCAGGACTTCAGCATCATAATCATCAACAGCTTGTTTGAGATCCTGTCCCTGCTCAGGAGAGCCATGAACTTTACGCATAGCGGCGACGAAATTAGCAGCATCTTGCAACGCGTTGTTGAGACCTTGTCCTCTATGCGGCGTCATAGGATGCGCGGCATCACCACACAGTGTCATCCTTCCACCCTTGTTGTCCCATTTGGCAGCCTTCTCCCAGAACGTGCCTTTGTCAAGTGGAAGCACGGTAGCAGGGTCAACAGCTCGGCCAGCAGATCGCCAAGGCTCCGCATACTCTTCTGTGCGCCTCTTGAAGAGCGACATGCGTCCTTCAAGGGTGGACAGATCCACATCAGCGGGCACACTAGAGTCCAGCCACGACTGCAGGACCTGGAATGTCCATGTTGCAGGGTCGGAGGGGTCAGGCACGTCTTGTATGGATAGCCAGAACATGGTGCCGTGACTTGGATGTATGCTTGTAATGAAGAGGGGATTCATGTCTCGTATGCGCTTAGCGAGGTCGGCATCGAATTTGTAGGGGAAGTTGAACATGCTGACAGATGCATTGGTGAGTTTTGCTGCTTCTGTGCCGACAATGGCTTCGCGAACTCGCGACTTTGCGCCATCGCAGCCTACCAGCACATGGCCAGTGGCTGTGCTGCCGTCTTCGAATGTCACCCTTACCTTGTCATCGTCACCGACCACTGCACTGGCGAACTTCTTCCCGTATTGTACATCTAAGCCCTCGCTGAACAAGTTACGCATCTTCCTACGACTGACGCGACAAGGCTTGTCCGCTGCGATTTCGAATATGCGCTCGCCCGTCTCACCGTTGAATACCGATAAGCCTGTGGCGGAGGCTTGATCCTGGGTCGGGTCGGCGAAGGCTTCGTGGATGCGGTTTGCGAGTTCAATTGGCAGGCATGAAGCGATGTGGGAGCTCCCCCAGTGTAGTGTCATACCCCATTCTCGCGGGCGTGTCTGGTACGTCGTCGAGGTCTCGGATTCGAAGATCGAGAAAGATATGTTTGCCTGAGTGGTGGTGGTGGTATTAGTGATGTGGGCGTTGGATGGTTTTGCGACTGAATCGTATACCTTCTTTAAACCCTGTGCGATGAGCAATCCGCTTGTTCCAGCTCCTACGATCAGGATGTGGAAGTCCTTGTTTCCGTTTGTAGCCATTGCTTAAGTCGGCACCTTGGTAGGAGATTGGGTGCTTTCAGATAGGAAACCAAGCTGGCATCATCGTTGGAGGGAGAGACGGCATGGCCGTGCCCGCGGGAGGCCCATCAGTCTGCATTTTACCCGTCCCGCATCTTGACTATCTTCAAGAAGATGGATATGGCTAGGAGCGCTGGGATGTTCGGCATGCGGGATGTAATGGGTATCTTGTCCGTGCGCCAGGCCTAGCGCGTTTTCACCACGCGCCTGCGGTATCGTGATTACGCTAGTCTGTCTTCACTCGAACCACATCTCTTCCTGTCGGTTGCTTGCCATACCAACGCGCTCACATCGACACCCAGACGCGCGTTGTCATGACCCTTGCTGGTTGAGTATTGCTTGGAGCACAGCCTCGCACCGTGTAGCGTTACTACTGAGACCAGAGTACGCGTGCACCGATGCGTAGAGGCCGCATATCACTCAGCCTCGTGGCTCTACTCATAGATTGATGTAGCCATACGATACATGCAGATGTACTCACATCCAGATTATTAGGCGAGTCTCAGAAAATCATTTTTCTAAATAGGCAGGGAACGTCTAGAATGCTGTCCCAGTTTGTTTTCGACAAAGTAAGGCTGACTTGTACCCGCTTCAAGAAGTAAGCAGCAATGCTTGACGGGCTATAGTGATATTGGCGAGTGCTATGAGCGAATCGGAAGCTATAGAGTCCTCACATCATCGTTCTAGCCAATGACTAGGCCAAGCAACGCCGCAGGATGCAGGATCAAAGTGCATTCGTGGCTGTCAGACTGCCACGCATCGCCACACACCAGTTACTCGGCTCACCGGTGACGCAACAAGGCAGGCTTTGTGGCCTTGGTCATACCCATATCGACGGTAACCTTCCCTCCCCCCCCCCCCCCCCCCCCCACCCCCCCCCCCCCCTCACCCCCTCGCCACCGCCCCCCTCTGCCCTACTTCACCCTCCACACTACGTCCAGATCCCCCACACCTAATCATACTCCTC